CTAAGGTGGAATGCCTTAGAGAAAAGCTCCCGTCCCTTATGTATCTCTCCTACACACACATGGGGCCAGCAGTGGAGTGGTGGGTAACGCACTGGACTTCCACATGGCCCACCGTGGTTTGAGTTCCAGTGGCTTGCTTCCTCACTTTCTTCCTCTCTCTATCTCTTTCTCTCTCTCTCTCTCATGAGCACATGTATCCTATAGCAAATTAAATAATAATAATAAAAATAATAAAATAAATAATTCTAAAAAAAAAAAAAAAAAGGAAAACCAAACCATGAATCTTGAAAGAGAATGAGGATCCAGGGACCAGCAGTTAGCGTAATGGCTATGTCACTGGACTCCCATGTAGTTGACTGCAGTTCGAGTTCCGGACCCAGCGGCTTAAAATCATGCCAGGTGTGTGTGCATGCGTGCCCAAGATCCTGAGAGGAGAATGGGAGAAGGGATTGCAGCGTGGCCATCCCCCCTGGAGGGTGATTTCTCGCTTTCTGTCTCCCTATCTCTCTCTGTCTTTCTGGCGATCACATGCACCCTATAGCACAAACCTCTAAAGGGGGGTGGGGTGGGGGTGGAAATGAGGATCCAGAGAGAACAATTTAAATAGTTCTTAGTGATGGCCTTTCCGTAAACAAACTAACCAACTTTTCACAGACCTTTAGGAAAGAAAATTCGGTGTGACTCTCCATGCAGTCTAATAGCCATGACTGAGAAGGCTCATATGGTTCTCTCTGGCCATCTCTTAGTGAGACTAGTCTGCTCTGGGGTGACCTGACTTTCCTCTGGACTTGGCTAGAAACTGGGGAGCTATTCGGGATCTGTACAATTCAAGCATTCAAAGGGGAACACAGAAAAAGGGCTCCTCAGGTGGGAACAGAAGAGGAACAGATGGTAAAAAATGTTCTTGGTGTCTCTTGAACATTGCCGCCCTGGAAATTTTGTTTTAACTTTGGGTTTTTATGGTTACTTTGGGCAACCACAAAGGATAACAGAACGGCAGCGCAGCTATGCGGGGAGAGGAGAAGCACGTGTCCTAAAGCGTTTTAGGTACAGAGGCAGGTGGCTTCAGATCGACTGCAGGTTACAAAATGGAAAAGCTCATTGTCATTTTGGACTTTGCAGGGAGCCGGGAGTAAATAATACTTCTCATATAGCTTTAGCCCCGTGCTATCTTAATTGCAATCTCTGGTGAGATTTGGAGTTATGCGTTTTTAACAAGCAAACCATAAAATAAGGTTTAATCTCCCCAGAGCCCTGGAGTTAATTTATCTGTCCACAGGCTAAGATCTTTTTAAAGGTTAAGAATGCTTGGGTTTTCTTTCTAGGTCTCTGGGTTGGCTGGAACGCCTGCAGGTGTCTCCTATGGCTGGCCGCTGGAATCTGGCTTTTATCAGCGCTAAAGACTCAGCCCTTAGGAAGCCCTGCAATAAGAATCAGGTGTTGGATCCTAGGATTCAAGAGTCCTACCTCGTCCTGATAGAGGAATTGGTATTCCTTAGGCCGGCATCTGTGGCACACACACACACACACACACAAAGTCGATTTAGCCTCAGAAGAAAAGGGTTGAGTCTCTACAGTTAGGAGCTGTGGAATTTTGGAGACGTGATCTAACCTCTCTGAGCTTCAGTTTCCTCATCTGTAAAATGGGAATAACAAAATCAGCCTTGGAGTCTTTGTAGGGTTTCTATGAATATCAAATGATATGTGAATAGCTTTTGTAAAAAAACAGAACACAAAATAGCTAGTACACTAACTTCCTTATCTAGCCTTTCATCCCGCTGAAATTTGCTGCCTTTGTCAAAGAAAGTACTTTCCCATGAAGCCATGCCAAGGAGGGAGGTTCCCAGGTATTCAGAGCGCATCTAAAACCTGTCCTGGCTCTCGGCCAGCACAGATTTTTTGCCACACTATCAGAAGCACAGGTTACCACCCAGACACTGGGCTTAGCACCTTGCAGATAGATACACATACCTGATCTCCACCTGCAGAGACACTCGCCTTGGTCAGAGCACCTTCCCTGCCCTTGCAGATTTCAGGTGGATGCCATGACTGTTCCAGAGCTACCAAGTGGGGGTCTACTTTCATCGATCCTGCATGGCTGTCCCCCAGGGGGTCACAGTTAGGGGAGCCCGTCTGTACTCTCGGTATAGGTGAAGGAGAAAAAGAGCCATTCTCTGGTCCGTTACTGACATGGTCCATTCTTATAGATCATCTTCCCATCCTCCCCCAGCCGGAATCCACAGCCCCATTGGCTGGCATCTCCAACTTCAAATCATATTTTAATCTACCCACTCCTCCCTCCTCCCTAACCCTTTGTGCCTTTCCCCACGTCCTATTTACCCTCGGCTTTGATGATTCTTCTCCCTAGATTGCCTTTCTTATCTCCTGCCAACTCAGTTTACTACTACCTGTGAGATTTCCATCACAAGGCCACCTCTTTAGGAAAGCCTTCCCAGATTAATCCTATCCCTCTCTAACTGTCATTACCCTTCACCTGCAAATGCCTCAGCATTGGTACATTTGATTGGGTTATTATAACAACCCCTAGCAGAAGTCAGCACAGTCAGGAACTGGGGTAATGCCTACCCAGGAGTCCCTGGGAAAAGCAGTCCTGTCTTCTGTGCCCTGCTCTCCCGGAGCCTTGCTGAAATCATCCATAGGGCAGCTACAGAGATGGAGAGGCCAGGCTCGGGAGGTTGGGAAGCTAACGCCATGGCTCAGGGTTTCCCCGAAGCCACGTATCGAAGTGTATAGAAGTGTCCCTAGTTTCTTCCACGGCAAGCCATGTGGCAGGGATAAAGGATTAGGGAGTGTGTGTCAAAAGGGAACAGAATTGTTCCTCTAAAATATAGTTCTAATCTCATCACTCTATACCTTATAAGTCTTTCCTGGCTCCCCCTGACACAGAAAAGAGCAATCACACTCCTGGCCTGGTAGACAAGACCTAGCACAGCAGCTGCTGCCGGGCTGCACTGCCACTCCACACTGTCTGTCCCTCCCTACGTGGCCCCCCTAGCAGGCTTCCTAGATAACAGAACCCTGAATACACTGTACGCCAGGTGCTGGCCCTCCTCGGCATCTTTTATCCATTGCTTCTACCTGGAACATTCTTCCTTTGCTACCTTTCCACCTGCCCTAATGCAATCCAAGCAGCTGAAGTCATACCTCTGGGAAGCTTTTATCGAACGTCCTCAGGTCGGAATCAAGGTTGCCCTTCCTGATTCTCCTGGATGGTGATGTTGGCTCTTGCGTGTACAGGCCAGAGCCATTATCTGCATTCACTACAGTTACTCGTCCGAAGAGCCACTTCCCCGCCAGACTGGGAGCCTCTGGCATTCAGGGACTCTCCCTTCCTACCACCTCGCCTGGCATCCGGCAGGATCCGGACCACTATGGAACTGAGTTAAAGTTATTGGCTTTAGCTGTGTCACCTAAAGAAACTCCCTATTAACTTCCCGGCTCTTCTACAATATCCTGCTTTCTGAGCCTCTCCCCAGCCTCAGTTTAAGCACCTGTCTCCACAGGCTGGACTCTGCATCCTCATGGTGGTTTCAGGCTGGCCAAGAAGCTGAGGCCTCCTGTGGGGGACCTGCTCCTGCCTCATTGGCCAGAGACGGCAGCCAGGTGGCTGTTGAAGGGAAGCCCTGAGGAAAGCCCCCTGCAGCCCGTCTCTGCTCCCCTCGTGCACCTCCTGAAGAGAGCCTTGGCCTCTTCCGTTTGCCTTTATGGCTTTGGAGCTATTTGGGAGACACCTTGAGACCGCTGGAGAAACAGCAATAATCCAGTTAAGGAGTCTGACACACTGGACTGGTGCCGTCTCGGCGAGCAGCGAGTGGACACACGGGGCCATTTCTGGTTCCGTCTGTGATATGTGTTTTACGGGCTGTCGATACCTACAGGGAAAACACCAACAGTAAGAGCCACAGATAAAAACCAGTGGCCTCTGCTTCCTCCCTGGGGTGTTTTCATAAGAAATTGGTTTCTGGGTAGGGAGGGGACAAGATTTTTCCTTTTTCTTTCTCACCTTAAGGCCATTTGGAGAGGTTTGAAAGGGAAAAACTTGATGTGGGGACGAGTGAATCAGGGGAGCCAGCAAGGTTTGGAAAGTCAAAACTGTGTCCCTGGCCAAGCAAGTCTTTTCAGGGTGAGGGACTGTTCCCATTTCCTCACTTGCTCTCTTTTTCCCCAAGGTAATTGTCACTGTTCCATCTCCAGACATCTCAGGGATCTCTCATGTCCAGATGAAGCCCGGGAACTGTCCTTTGGAAGCGAGCATGGAAGAAGCCGTAATCCCACCACCGTACCTCTCATGGAGGCTATGCCAGCTCACAGCAGCATCGGTAACAAGTGAGTGGCCACCCCTCAGTCTCCCTAGGCGATGTGGTGCTGGCACCTCTCCTCCGCATACCTGGCTCCCTCACCTACCTCCCCGCCCTGCCAGCCCAGTGGACAGGGTCTTAGAAGAACTGAAGTCATCACCTCTGTCCCTTTCACTGCCCGAGGCCACGGCTCCAGCAGACTCCCCACCTCCCACTCCAGGCCAACTCAACTGTGTGTGATGGCTGGAAAAAGTTAAACGCTCTTC